CCCTGGACTGAGCCCACGGCTCCATGCCTCCCAGACACCAAGGAATAATGGAAGCGCACACATGGCCCTCCTGGCCAAAGCACAGGGCATGGGCCCCCGGGGCCGAAGGGGTTTCTTGGTGACATTTAACAGGCATTTCCTCCAAGAGCCCATCCAGTTCCTACGAGACAACCTTGTCTCACATGGGCACAGCCTTGGGTAACACGAACTCAGGGGCTCAAAACACAGCTGCTTGGCTTCCCAGCACTCGGGAGACACGCGGACCCCTCACCCACCCCACGGCTTACAGCCACTGGCCCTGACTTCGGGCAGAATGCTTTCCCCATGAGCTGCTTGGTGGCAGGTAGCCAGGTTAATGTCCATCTTCCGGAGGGACCAGCACAACTTGACAGTGGAACTGGTTTACCAGCAAAGACTCAGGACAACCAGTGAGTGCCTCCACTGTGTTCTGCCCCAGTTCTTAGCAGGTGGCCACGAAACCAGGGAATGTTCTGGAAGCACAGCTGGGCCTCAGTACACACCAATGTGTGCCAGGAGTGGTGGCTGGGCTGATTGGGAGCCGCACACCAGAGTCCCCTCTGGGGGGCACTGGAGTGTTGGTGGCCACGGATGGTCACCTGCACCACCTGGATCCTCTGCTCTCTGGGATCCTCCCAGTAGGGCATCTGCCTCCCATGACCATGCGCGGGCCGCCTTCCTCACACCCTGCAGCTCTCCTCCTCTGACCTCCCCTCCCCCCACAGCAGGATGGGTTAGCCCACAGGGAGACAGGGAACCCCAGGCCATGCCGCCCCCTGTCACCACCTGGTGAAGGGAACAGGACCTCAAACAAAGCAGAGCCTCTATGAACCACACAGAGAGGCAGCCTCTGCCGCTGAAAATGCTCTCATAAACGGAAGGTTTCAGCATGAAGGCCTGGGAGCCGGGGAGTGCGTGCTGTCCCCAGGCTCGGGAAAGGGGGACCCAGGTGGCGCGTGGCCATGCACCCCGTCCCCGTGGTGGCGCATCCAGTGAGCCCACCTGTAGGCCTGCAGCAGGAATATCTTGTAAACGTTTGTGCAAACCGTCTGAAGACCATTCACCTGGAGCCACAAGGAAAGGAAATGTTGGAAATGCATCTGAAGTTTAAATTTTTATCTTTTGCTTTATCACCAGCTCAAATGGAGTAACAAAACAAAAAAAAAAGGACCATTGTGTCCTCACTGGTGGCCCCTCAGCGCCTGTGGTGGAGTCAGGACTCTGCTGGGGCTGCCCAAGGGAACCAGGCAGAAAGGGACAAGGAGATGAGCATCCAGACCTGCCGGAATGACATCCTGGCCCTGAGGCTCTAAAGCAGGGGTCCTCAAACTTTTTAAACAGGGGGCCAGTTCACTGTCCCTCAGACCATTAGAGGGCTGGACTATAGTTTAAAAAAAACTATGAACAAATTACTATGCACACTGCACATATCTTATTTTGAAGTAAAAAAACAAAACGGGAACAAATACAATATTTGTATTTGCATGTGGCCCACAGGCCGTAGTTTGAGGACCCCTGCTCTAAAGCCTGAGCCAGCTGAGGCCTCAGAGTCCCACAGTCTGCAAGGAGGAGCTCCAGGGCTGAGGAAGATGGGAGCGGAGGAGGGATAAGGAAAAGGACCCTCAATACACACAGGGGCATATATGCACACTCACATGCATGTATATACACCCATATGTATACACTCACACATGCACACCCATGCATGCACACATGTGAACATATACCCATATGCACGCACACCCATGCATGCACATCCACACACTTATACACATATCTGCATACTTATACACACAATACACAACAGGACCTATAAAACAACTCCCACAGGTAAACTGAGCAGCAGGTCTTCTGAGCTCTGAAGTCAGCTGGCTGCGTGGCTCTCCTGCTGGCGGCATGCTCACCTGCAGATCCAGAAGCAGACTGTGACATTTCAGCCTTAACACCGCAAAGAGCTTTCGACGCATGCTCCTCCCAGGCTTGGAGCCCTGGCTGAAGGCGAGACTTGCTCTGATCGAGGTCTGGGCATAACTGCAACACATGACATCCAGGGAGGCTGAGGATGGGCATTACAGTGTGTGTCCTCACTGCAAAGAGCCTCGTGTCCAGCAGGACCTGAAATCTCTGGGCTCAGATCTGTACTGATTCCCTACATGCTGGGTCCCCAAGTCTGCCACACAATTTCTTTTTACCAAAATTACTCCAGAAAACTGCTCACCTGGCCAGTCCCCTGACCCACACAAGAATGACATGCTCCTACTCTGGAGGGGGAGATAGCACCGAGGCCTCTGACCTTTTGGGACTGTAGCCACATGTTGCACACAGAGCAGGGACAGGGCTAGACTGG